CCCCATGTGCAGTAAAACTACAAAGCGGCCATATTCTGGGGGAAATTAAGAGTTTAAAAATGTGGTTAGGATGCTGAAATGAGTAATTATTCATAAGTCTTTATCACGAGATGTTTCTTGGCCCCAAATAATTTTGTACAATTACTTTAAACAACTGAATGCCAAACATACGGCTTAAAGAGATGAATCTTCACCACATTAATATTTCTTCACAGAACAGGCATAATCTATTTGTGACTCCAGAGAATAAAGTAAACAAAGAAGACACAGGGATTCATGACTGCATTTTCAGAATTCAATTGTTAATTAGACACATATGACCTGTTTGAATTGGAAGTTTAAAAGTCTTCCACCTGTAATAGTTATTTTGCTTTTCTCTACATTTTCTCATTTTCACTTGTCTAATGAGTAATGGACTTCTTTGTTATCTAGTACTATACTTACACAGATGAGTTCAAAATCTGATGCTGGTATTTTAATCCATGCTGGTACATATATTCTAACATTCTCCTGTGGTCTCTCAATTTTAGTGACCAAAACAGATTTCTTTATAGAACTGAGTTCAGTGTGTAGAAGAAACATTGCATAAAATATTCAGTGAATTAAAAAATGAAAAACAAAACATAGGAATTGGAAGAGTAAGAACCTTTTCCCGTTAACTATTAATAAAAATATCAGGACTACTATTTAATGTACATAAGCAACATTATCAGAAAAGCCATTCATTTTAAGGTACAATGAGAGTACAGAATAGATTAAAACCTCTTCTGCAACTCTTCCTTCTTCAGTCCAAAAATAACTTGCAAAGTGAAATAGCAGATCTCATTTGTTGTATGCTCAGCACCCTAAAAACCTATTTTGTGGTACACTCACATCTACTGCAAAGCACAGTAAAAATACACGGTGATAAGACATACACAAGACATTAAAAACTGAGCTAACTTTTACTAAATGTTACAATCAATGATGTAACTTATGTAAGTAGGGTTGCTTTGTCATATATTGATAGTTACCTCACTTTCACATCCACATTAACTTGATTTTAAATGCAATTAATACATATAGTCAAGGAAGACTAATGGACTACATTCTGCACTTAACCTGGTGGACATTTTCAAATGGCACAAGTGACCAGTGCAAACCTATTTTGCATTGTAAACGACTAAATAAATCTTAATGGATTAAGAATGATCAGCTATCAACACACAAGGGAAATTAAGTGCTGAAATGCCTACATTGATTATTTTAAATTATTAGCCTTACTCTGTTCTTGAATTTGTATGCTTTTAGTGAGCTTTAACACATTTACAAGACTTATTGACTATAATTACAAGAGAATTCAAGTAATGGACACATCAATTATAAGCAACATGTCTTGACCAGACAGTTGCATAAAGAATTCTAAAGAGACCTCCATTAGCATCTTCCCTGTAGTTTTATTCCATTTTATCTGCCTTAAGAGGGCATATTAAGGGCTCATAAAAACATGTGAACAAGTTGGTGCTTCCTAAAAATCCAACAGTTGCAAAATCAAACTATTTCCTGAAACTGTTTCCTATGCACAAAGTAGAGCAGCAGACTTTCAAAACAGCCGGAATTCCAACACAGAGTTTGTAAGAATATTTTAGTTAAAGACTCCTGATGACAATGCACCTCACCTGAATCTTAAGCATATTGCCCAGCCACTGCTTTGTCTTCTTGGAGGAAGGGAACCATTTCAGGACTGCACCAAGAATATTAATATTTTTGCAACATCCTGCATCTCTTATCTTTCCATTTTCTTTCTAGAAACTGCACCAAGTTTCAACTACTGCATGAATTTAAACCAGAGCTTCTATAATAACCCATTATTTAAAAGTACAGTAAAATAAACCTTACAGTTTTAATGAAAATATGTTCATTGAAATGTGAATTTATTATTCAAATCCACTCATAAATTTAACCAGAGAGACACCACTTGTCTAAGCAGAGCTCAGTGATTTAGAAAAGCTGTCTATTTAAAATAAAGAATGTATGGCAGGTTTATAGAAACATAGCAGTGAATTTTTACATAAATTTAGAACTGCAGCTTATGCATTTTCGGCAAAAGTGTTGTTTTAAATTTTTCCACTTAATATAAAACATAAAAAGAGAATAGAAAATGTGGCACCACACAGGGTCTAAATTATCTGGTCCAAATTTCACAGGTACTGCATTACCATTAACAATGCTTTCTAAAATGATGGCCAACTGCAAATATCATGATAATCATATGCACTTGTATCTTAAAGTCAACATACTTCACAAGTAACAAAACATAACAAATATTCATCATTCAATCACTAAATGTCACTGGTGGATTCCATATCCAAAAGGCATGAAACCTACCTAAGACCATCATTTGGTTGGTATTCTACCAACCTAGCAACTGCTCACTATCTGGGGAAGTTATTTTAGCCCAGTTAAAAAGTAAATAAAAAGCTATAATCCTAACTATGCAGAATTAAACTACCTATTAGAGCTGTGCATGCTTCAAAAATTATTCAGAACTGCTTTAGATCCTGAACAAGCACCTCTCTGCTATTCATTTAAGCAGGTCTTCTTTTTTTAGGGTTCTGCATGTGTGGCTGAACAAAAAGTATAGCTGCTTTAGGAGTTGCATTAAGTTTAAAGAAATCACCTCCTTAAACAATCATACTTTTTCCAGGTTGACACAGAAGGATGAAAAAAAGGGGCTATTTGAGTGAGCAGCAGAGAGGTGCTGCGCTCACATGTAATCTGAAACACTTCTTTTGAAGTGTGCAGTGGTCTACTACTGATCTTTGGGCAGTGCTTCCCAACAAGACTGTGCCCAAAACGGGAGACTTAAGTAACAAAATGAAATCACTGCCATGCCTGTAGGGAAAATATTCCAAATATGTATAATGTCTGTGGGGAAAATTCCTATGGAGGAGGTAAGAAAAGAGAACCAATCCAACCCAATAAAGACTGATCAGCTGGCCATAGAATACTGAGCATTGCCAGGGGAGAGGGGAGAACAAGAATTGTATTGCTTAACAACTGCAATAAAGATTGATTTGAATAGGAAGAAAGGGAATGGAAGTACCTTAAAAAGAAGGCAGCTGGCTGGAACTGATCAGGAGCATTCCATACTTGCTAGACTGACAGACAATGCTAAAGCATAATGTGTTTCTTGGGTTTAGCTTAGTATACTGTGTAAAATCAGCCATATGGTGGAATTCTACAGCTTTTACTTTCTTCTGTGTGCTGAAACCATCCAATTGTAGTTTGTCCATTAAACTGATTAAACAAACCATGTTTGTAAATACAGTGAATATTTATTAGGAGAAGCAGCATTTAATTATTCCTACATCTTCCAACTACTCCCACAAATGCTTCAAAGGCTTTACTAGTTTAGTTAGAACAAACTAGGGTCAAAAATTAGAGGTATATTTAAGTTAATTTAGTCACAGCATTATGACAGGGCTAACCTAAAAAGCAAAAAGTAAATAGAAAAGATGCCTGAACTGAACTGGAGAAATTTTCAGAGGCAGATCCAAGTCTTGTGGAATGTCTCCTATAAACACCCACTTTTCTCAAACATACTAGTACTGTATAGGGACTTGAATAAGAGATGATGACATGGATTCATTTTTGGAAGATCAACCTTGGTGCAAATGGAAAAAGATTTCCAAGTTAACAAGAAAAGCAGAAAGAAAAGAAAGGGAGGGAAAAAAGCCAGGAAGCTAACTTTCTGGGGTATTTCCCTTGTGCTTTGCCCTAATGTTTCCCAATCTGGCATGATTTTTTTTTTTTTTTTTTTTTTGTGCCTGCAAGTCAGTGTTGACTCCTAGCAACTGCCCAGACAAATCCTGGAAGTTTTCTCAACAACATTTTCAGAAATGGTTTGCCACTGCCTCCTTCCTAGGGCTGAGAGAGAGTGACTGGCCCAAGGTCACCCAGCTGACTCCATGCTTAAGGTGGGACTAGAACTCACGGTATCCCGGTTTCTAGCCTGGTGCTTGTGACTACCACACCACTGGCTCTCTTGGTGATCACTGCCAGATACAAAGGCCTCAGAAATGAACCATCCACAAGTTTCTTGGTGATCAATACATACAGACCCCAGTCGCCCACCACTGTTTCACTTTATTTGTGCTCCCTTAAACTCCAATCCTCCCCTTCAGCTCAAAATCTTTATCCATCAAATAAATAATCTCAGAGTTTTGGGTTTATACAAACCCCATCAGTGGAAGACCAGATAGAGCCATACCAATATGGAAACAGGCTAGATGTCAGTTGTTCAATAGCAGTGTCAATAAAGCTACAATTTGTTGTTATATGTTTGCATAGATAAAGGAAACATTTAGTGTATCTGTTTGGGTAGATTTAATTATGCAATTGCATTTGTACATCTTCTGTCCATACATGGACTTTGCTGAATGTCTCATTTCATCAATTTCTCTTGCCAGGTAGCTTGCTCATTTCTTAAAACATACTATAAACACCTTGGCAGTCTTTCTCCCAATCTTTGGTGGAAAAGGAGGAAGGAAAAAGGGAAATGAAGCTCCTGATCAGTGCCACATATACTATACATACATGCATGAAAAAGTTACCAAGCAATTCTACATTATACAAGCAGAACAGATCCATTACTGCAAAGAAAAATATCCTCTGAAACCTCCAATTGTTCACTTAATGAGCTACAATCAAATTAATGAATTATAGGTTTATCTGGGGATATAATCTTTAAAATGCATATTAACAAAAGAGATAGCTATTGAGAACTTTTAAGAAAATTAATCTTCCTATTCTTTGGCTTCTAAAGAATACTCCTAAAGCCTAACATCTCAATCTTTAAGCACTGAACATGGAATTCATATATTATCAGGATAGTCTAGAGTATAAGAAGGATTGATTTACAAGTTTCAAAAGGGGAAGAGGAAGAAAGCAGAGGAGACATAAGATCTTAATTCAATTTCAGTCACAAAGCACTAGCTGTACAACTGGTCAATACATACCTGTATGGGTACGGATATGAGCTAGGAAGGCCATTGAATTACTGCTTCTGCATATCTTCCCACAATATTTGCAAATATTGCCTTTATTTTCTTCTCGCTCTCGGACAATTTGTTCAGTATCTTCAACAATATATTTATTGACTTCCCGGAGCAGTTCTTCATGTTGTTCTTTTATGTGAAGGAATAAATTTTGTTCAGAATCAAAAGGCTCTGTGCATTTCACACATTTAAAGGTGGCACCCCCTTCTGGCAGTTCTTCAACACTTGCTTGTTCATTTCTCATATGGCCAGCACTAGCCAGGTGCTGATGAAGGCTGCTTTCAGTGTAAAACGATTTTCCACACAGTAAGCAATGGAAATGCTTCTCCTTTGATGGATGCTTCATGGCTATGTGAACATTTAGTCCACTCAAACCATCTGCTAAAAAGCCACAGTCATCACAACGAATTCGTGGAGTTTCCTTCACAGGATGTCCTTCTACTTTCTTCTTTTTTCCATCATTCTGTGGGCAATCCACTTTTATAGCTCTGTCATAATTTTTTTGCCTACTCAGGTTTTGGCCATCAACTGGGTGATCAACTAGTTCACAACCATCTTCATGGTTTAATTTCACTATCGAAGAATCAAACTGACCACAGTTTTGCATTCCTGTTCCATCTACTATTTTGCCATCAACATTGTTTAAAACATCCAAACTTATATCATTTTTGCCCATGCCTTCAGCTACTGAACTATCTGAACCCCAAATATTATTCAAAGATACTCCTGTTTCCTGCTGTGCATCTGTCAAGGTACCCTCTTCTTCTGTAGGACATTGCTGAATGTTTTTCTGTTGCTGTAAAATATGGATGTCTTTAAAGCTTTCAGTATTTTCACTGATGCTTTGCTGCTCTAGTGCACTACCAGTGTCTGAAACTATAGACAAATGGGTTTCATCTGTTTTCACTTCTTCAGCAGCTACTTCTGAAATTTTGTAACTTTTTTCAGAGTCTTCTTCCAATTTGTTCTCATTTTTCATTAAATCTGAGTTTGGAGAACTTTCATCAAGAGCTGTGTTTTCATTTCCAGGTTCTGTTGTCAGATGAATATTTGATTTTGATATTTCTTGGTTATCTACATTTTGATGCAGAACACAATCAATCGTTTCCTTAAGTTCAACCATCTCACTGAATTTAAGACCTACATTCTGATCAGTTTCTTCACCACTTGTATTTTCTCTGCCTTGATCAGTTCCATCTTCAGTTTCAGCATCTACAGCCTCAAGTATGTAATCTTCCTTAGACACTTTTGAAGCAACACTATCTTCTAATGCCAAATAAGTAGGTGACTTATTTACTTTATCCGTGACCTGATTGTCTGGGCTTTCCTCTTCAATATTATTTTTGTACTTTGTTTCATCCAATGTAATCTGAGGATCTCCTGTAGTTTGCTGCTCTTCTTCAGACACAATAGCAGTTTCTTTGGCAATATTTGCTACATCTGTCTCCTCTCCAGAGGAAGCACATATATATGATTGTCTTTTAATTTTATGCTTTTCTGTTGCTGCATGCCTAATCATCTCTCGGCGAGTAACTGCATAATAGTCACAGGCCATGCAATAGTATTCAAATTCTTTAGTGTGCTTGCGTTTTATATGTACTTCCAGGGAAGAAAAAGAATGTGCAATGAAGTTACAATGAGCACACTTATTATCATTTGCAGTTGCTAGTCTTGTCTGAACCAATACATTTTTATCTTGGCTAATGTTACTTGATTCTGCAATTGTATGTTGTGTTTCAGAAAAGTTTCTATCTCTATCTATTTTGGGAAGGTGAATTATATTTTTGACTTTTAACTGGATGGCGTTATCCTGTTCATCTCCCTTGCTTTCCAAAATAGCTTGGTCTGTCTCTGAGGACTGATCATTAGAATCTACACATTCATTTGAAAGGCTTAATGGATTGTTTATTTTCTTGAACTTGGCTTCAATATTGTCTTCTTCTGGACAAACAATAAACTCAACATTTTTCTCCCCATTGGCTTCCAGGCGGCCTTTATGCTTCTTTGTAGCACAATGACGTTCCATATCACCTTTAGTTACAGTATAGTAATTACATACTTTGCATAAATAGCTGTACTGATGGCTATGCTTTCGGCGAATGTGAACAGTCAAGTTTGTTACACTAGAAGCCAATAAACCACAATGAGGACATGTCCGAGAAATTGTCCCTTTAGGTCTACCTTTCTTTTGCACACTGCCAAGAATCAACTCACTATCTTTAATTGTTTCACTTGATGTGTACAGCTCTTTATTTATTGATACCTTCTCTAGAGAAGAGAAGGGTGCACATATGTTCTCATTTTCTGATACTGTCTTTAAACTTCCACAAACAGGAGTTTCTGTTCCTTTTTTACCATCTGTTCCACCTACACATATCTTTTCAATACATTCCTCAAATCGTAAACCAATATTATTTTTTCTGGCATTTTCAAGGTGTTTACTTCGCTTTATGTGTTTTTCCATTCCTTCTTTGCTTAATGAATAAAGGTTACATGCTTTACAAAGGAAATGATATTCCTGAGCATGTCGAAGTTTTATGTGTCTTGTAAGCACAGAAGAAGACCTTGTTTTATAAAAACATTTTTTACACTGAAACTGACTTCTGCTCAAAACAGACTCCTTGAACTCACTACCAGGAATTACCATTGAGAGCTTGGGGCCTTCCTGCTGGGTTTTCAATTCTACAGCCTTTGGAAGTTCCGCTGAAGGGCAAGATGTTGCTTGCAGAGCCAAATCACTTTTAAGTGACTGAATGGTATCTCCTTGCGACAGTAAATCAGTATGATGCTCAGTTGCATTATGAGCTGCTACTTCTTCTTCAGTTAGAAAATACATGCAGCAAGCAGAACAGGAGAAGGCCATGCCATGCTCATCACACATGTGTTTCCCAAGGCTTATGTCATTTGGGGCAAGAAATGAACACTGAGGGCAATTTATCTTGCAGTTGTCTATATGATTATTAGTTTTTTGACAATGACATTCCAAGTCCTTTCTGTCTGAGGAATACCCACATATTTGACAATGGAGTTTAAATTCACCATGAGTTTTATCAGCATCCAATTTCAGATCTTCTTTATTTGACAAAGTAGATCCACCATGGTTACAAGGATCTAGTGTCCTCTGCTCATCAAGATCTTTCTCTGAAGTATTCTCATGCTCCAGGATAATAGAAGATGTATTTTTTTCATCTGCCGCTATTTCTGGGATATCTGCATCGAAATGCTTACCATCACCTTCAGTTTGTAAAGCTTTGGCCTGTGATAAATCACTCTGATGCAACTCCCCTTGAACGCTATGCTTTGTGTTAGAATCAAGCTTACTTTTTTTACCAATGCCTAAAAGATTATATCTTCTTTTAATCTGTTGATTTATTCTGAAAGAATTACTTTGCCTGAAAGTTATTCTTCGTGATAGGATTTTTCTTTTTTGGTGGAAACTACGAAATACCCCTGTGGACTTTAAGTTGCAAACTGTGACTTCACTACTTTTGGCAGGTTTCAATACACACGGATTGCATTCTGAAGACTCTGATACGTCTGATTTTTCAGGTAGGATTTCACCATTTCCATCCACTTTCCAGAAAAAGGCCCCTTCCTTAGTAATATTTTCTGTTGTTTCAGTAGATGGTATCATTTCAACTAGAAGTTGGCAGTTTTCTTTCAAGTTCTCTACCTTATTGCCTGAAATTCTTAAATGATCTGAAATCTCATCCCTTATTTTTGGTTTATTAAGTGCCAATTTCATTCCTACATTCTTTTCTTTGATTGGATACTGCTGTTTCTTACAAAAGGATTTTTTTGTTACCATCTTTACAAATCCACCCCGGGCAGCAAGATTTTGCCGTCGGAGGTGTGTCTTGCCAAGAAAATGAGCCTGTAGAAGAGCTTCCTTAAAAGTCTGATAACCACAGAGATCACAAAAATAAGTAAGTTGGCCAGAAGCCTCCTTGATGTGTGTTTGCAAAGATGAAGTATGTTCTGATTTAGAAGTACAAGGCAAGCTCACGTTTTCTTTTGATTGCTTAAGGTGGTTTTCCTGAACATGCTTTTCTAGATCAAGAGCGGAGGAAAAAATCTCCTTACGGGTCTTGCATTTTGAAACATTCTTAACACTACTTGTTGTATAATTAATGCTAGTTGAATCATCTAAGATAGACGGTCTGCATTCTGGAAGTAGTATTTCATTCTCTTGAGAATGTTCATTTTCCGTATGTGTTATCTGTACAGTATTATCATCTTCAGGCACAAATTCATGCCGCATGCATGAAGAATTTGTTATAAATGAGCATCTACTTGGAGAGGTATTTACAGCCACTTTTTCTATTGCATTATTTGTCCCATCAACAGAATATTCACACGTGGTAGCATCAGATGGGTCTCCTTCTTTCTCTTTTGCAGGTTTTGTAACAGCCAGCTTTAATTTTTTTGAGATAGGTTCATTTTCAACTATATTTGTTTCACTAAGTTCACGATCAGCTGTTTGGGATAATGGCCGTTTCGCTAAGCCATTCTCTTCAGTTTTTTCCAATGGATTTTTCTGATCTTTAATCAAAAGCATTTTTGAGTTAGAAAAAGATTCATTAGGAGTTTTTCCTGCTAAAACATTTTTAGCAGTGTCTTGTAGTAAGTCATTTTCTATGTTTTCATCACATTCATAATTCTGATTTTTTTCAACATTCATCCTTAATGAAGATAACGTAGAGCACAATTCCAGTAAAATGAATTAGCACATCTGTTCTAGGAATTTCTAAAAAGAAAAAAACAGAAAGAGTAAATTAGCTTCAGTGTACATAAAAAACAATCATGTTTTATTACAATCCAATTCATAACTTGCTGGATATATGCAATTATTTTCAAAATGTTCAAGGACACGTTCAGCTATTGATTTTGGTAAATTTTTCTAACCCAGAACACTATTTTGACATCTAAATTAAAAATTGTTAGGGTTTTGTTTTGTTAACAAGTATGGCACAGCCATTATGAAGAAACAAGACAACATACATCAGTAAAATATCATGGAAAACAGAAATAATTTTTAGTGTCTCTGAAAACAGAATCTTTGTAACAACTTACAACAATACAGATAGACATTAGCTGATTCCAGCACTTCTGAATAGGATTACAGTGGACCTCGGTTTATGAACTTAATTCGTTCCGTGACTCTGGTCGCGACCCGAATTGGTCGTAACCCGAAGCAAATTTTCCCATAAGGTTCAATGTAATTACCGTTAATCCATTCTGGCGTGGACAGGGAGGAAGCTATTGCTTGGAGGGAGAGTCCCCCTCCCTACGATCACGTGTCAGGGGTGGAAAATGGCGGTGGATCACGTGTCAGGGGCGTAAAAATGGCCGCGGATCACGTGCCAGAGGCGGAAAAATGGCCACGGACCATGTGTCAGGGGCAGAAAATGGCCACGGACCACATGTCAGGGGCGGAAAAATGGCCACGGAACACGTGCCAGAGGGGGAAAAATGGCCACGGACCATGTGTCAGGGGCAGAAAATGGCCACGGACCTCATGTCAGGGACAGAAAAATGGCAATGGACCACGTGTCAGGGGTGGAAAATGGCCACGGACCACGTGTCACAGGCAGGAAAATGGCCGCGGAACGGGTCACGGGAGGGAAAATGGCTGGAGATCCTGTTCGTAACCCGAGGCGGAGTTCGCAAACCGAAGCAAAATTTTGCATCCGGAGCTGGTCGTCACCCGAAAAGTTTGTGAACAGAAGCATTCGTAACCCGAGGTTCCACTGTATATACTTTAAATGGAACCAATCTATAGGAGTCATATCAAGGCTGCAATGTAAATAATATGTCCATTTTGGGAATTCAAGTCTAAAAGGTGTGACCTTTGTTTTTGATAGCTTGACATAGTGCTCTAAGAAAGCACTGCACTGATTTAAAGGGCAACTAGAAAATGGAGAAAAAATATTATTTCCTGAATTAAAAGTTTTATTAACTAAGCAACTGACTTCAAACTGAATTTCACATTAAGAAGATATGATTTACTCAAAATAATGAAATACAACTAAAGAAGCCAGTATCAAAACCTAAAATGGCATCCATACAGATAAAAATAATTTTCCTCACAAGTCAACCTTAGCTGTGGGATTCTGGGACTCATGAATATGTCCATTTTGTTGTTGTTGCTGCTGTTGTTTTCTTGGCAATAATATAGAAGTGGTTTTGCCTGTGTCTTCTTCTGGAATATTTTTGTACAAACTATATAATTCTAAGTAGTTTGGATGCTATTTTATTGCAGTAGCAATATCAAAAATACACTTGTTCAGAGTGCCTCCACTATACTAGGCCTGTGCAAATCATCTGTCAAGGTACCTCTAAAGGGCACTGAAGCATTTAAGCAGCTACAACTATGTCAGAGCTTCAAGAAGTAGATCCAGAACAAAGTTTTGCTGATGAGTTGTTGGATTATTTGTAGTCTTAATAAATATGCTAGTTCTACATTATATATCCATGTGTCAATATTCAGCAATAGCAAAGAATGTATTCTAGATTTTAATTAATACAGACATGGCCTACAACTCCTTCATTACAATTAATGTCCAATGATACAGAAAGCAGCAAGTCGTATTTACAGCCTCAAAGATCAGTTCTCCTCTTTTTGGCAGCTCAAAAAGTTGGAGTTTGAAAACAGTTATCCTTTTCACCAGGAACAAAGCAACACAACAAGGAAAACATCTGCCATATTTTCCTGTACTACTGCTCTCTGCCTTAAAATAAGAAATGACATGATATATGCAGTCCTAAATTGTCAAATTGTGTAGGATTATCTAATGATTAGAGATCATGTTGTTTCCCCTTAGAAAAAGCTCCACATTTGTTGCTAAAAGATTACTGTTATCTTCATTCTAGAACCCTCCTTCTTGATGACTAACTCAGCATTCACCAGACAAGAAAACAAAAATCTAAATAGTTGTGCTAGTACATTAGTTAAAATGGAAAGAATGATGACAGAATAAAAAAAATAGGAAATAGAAAGCAGATACTGATTACATTTTTAAAAAATATTTCTAAATAAAGGTACCATAAATTCTTTAAATTTCTCATGGACCCAAAATGGCTTTTGGAGGGGGGGAGTCAGTTTTGAGAGAACCCTAATGTGTTCTGGACCTGTTTTAACTTGCTGTCTCCTGCTAAGGGTGCCCTCAGTTGAGTAGTGACACTCCTTTTGAGCACTCAAGTCAGCTTTTCAAAACTTTGACTTCCTTTTTGCAGACATTTTTTAGGTTGGTGAGTTTCTGAAAAAGGGGGCATTCAGCAACTGATTTTTTTTTTACATTTTTTATCCCACCTTTATTATTTTTTATAAATAACTCAAGGCAGCGAACATACCAAATACTCCTTCCTCCTCCTATTTTCCCCACAAC